ACTTTTGTGCATGTGTACTATCAATATAAAAAGGTATGTGTGTAGATGAATATGGATTTTTCAACCATTGAACCGGGTGTAGTCTGAACGCATTTGAGGTACAAACGTTCCCATAAAAGCAATGAAAAACATCTTATGAAAATGTATGAAAAAGTAGTCTGAACGCATGTGAGGTACAAACGTTCCCAGAAAAGCAATGAAAAACATCTTATGAAAATGTATGAAGGGTCTTCATTCTCACCCTTATATAACCTGGGTATGTCGGAGTCCAGTTTAAATACAGAACGATTCCGATGTCACAGTAAACAGCACAGCTGCCGTCTGTAGAGGTGGCCCTGTGCGACTGCCATTGAAACTTTGTTTGTAGTCTGATCCCACATGAATTCGGCCCAAGCCATGATATAAATACGGAAACAAACTCTCGCTACTACATCACACACATTAACGCAGAACTAAAAGATATACAGGCACGCACGCCAATATAAGCGATAAACGTATACCCACCTCGGCTACATCGGGAATAACCTCGGCTCCGTTTGCTTTGTACTCTGCATCCGTGAAGTTCGCTTTAGCACCAGCGCCTGCGTGTGATGTAAATGGTTATTAAAACCCGCTTGGCCTATCAATGTATTAACGTTCTAATACAATCTCACCATAATGGTGCAGTTTAGTTGTGGTATGTATGGATAGATGTATCCAATAAATACCAACAACGCCATGTATCAGTCAGGAAACCGTTTTTAGGTGTAGGTAGTCTAGACGCCCGTTTCAGAAACGTTATAAAGAGAACGTTCCGTATTGTGATAAGCTATAATGATAGATAAACTCCCATTATGAGCAAATGGAATGTAAGCGTAGTATGGGCATGAATAAAACTAACACTATACAATCATATGTGTACATGCTCCAACATTGGCCCCCTACAAAACATATATGGAATATACCTTCACATTGATACATTGTACATACATATGGGTCTACCCTCACATTCGCACACATGACCTGCAACCTTCTTATCGTAGAGGTAGAGTATATATCCAGTATTCGTACTCACGCATAACAATAAAAATTACGTTTATGTACCACTACCATACTATGCATTTGTACAGAGCTGTGGGCAAACTCCACACCTTTCGGTACTTACACCTGCAACCTTATAGTCCATCACATTACGGAACATTAATACACATATACATATTCCTCTCAACCCACAGACCTGACTGTACATACACCTGCAACCTTATAGTCCATTACACTACGGACCGTTAATAACACTTGTAAATATTTCTCACCCACAGACCTGACTGTACATAAACCTGGAATCCCATTTTGCGCAGATGCAGTGCTCTTGTGGGTGTCATAGCAACGCGTTTCTCACCGGCCGCAATTTCTGTGGGAACTCCGAACGACTTATAGGTTGCGTATTGCAACCACTCGGGTTCGTCTGTAGCATCGGTAGTAAATAATCAGAAATTAGTAATATGTGTTGAATATAATATATGTGTAGCGTAAATAGTTTTAAGATGCTTGTTTAAAATATATGGGGATAGATGACTACGACTAAGATTAGCTGACTTTTATACCGAAATATATAAAATGGATGTCTTCAAGTTGGAGGCTAATTCTACCATAAGCTGCATTGCTATCCGATTTCAATATGTAAAACAAATCGACTATATTGACAATACTCTACCAAACATTAGCCTTGGACTATAACTACTGACTACATATAGAGCCAACGATCCATCACCTGCGTCATGCATCACAAAGGTGTCAATGGTAAATGGAATATCAATATATAGGTGAAATATATATCCGAGAGAATACCCATAACTGAATGTGAAATATACATCCGAGGGGAAACTAATGCATGTAGGTCAAATACATATCCGAAGGTACTCCAATAATTACAATTGATATATATGTATCCGAACTTATACCAATAAACTATTCAGGATTTGATTGTATATAATCATTGAAATATCGGAAGGTATACCAATGATTGAAGGGGAAATGAGAATCCTGGATTCGGTTGTATTCCAATCATTGCAAATATCCTCTGATCTATCCTACACAAACACCAACATATCCAGATGCTAAATGATATACACAGATGACGCTAAACATAAATGTGCTAAATAACGACACTTACCATCCGCATCCTCGTTGCCGCTACTTATAACCGCAGTGTCGTGATTAAGCCCCACATCACTAAGCACATGCTCGCCCGCAGGTACCGAACTATTTGCGGACGGGAACTTGTACTTTCCTCCTTCCCCATTTGTGGGCATTGCGCCCTTTTTGGTACCCTTTTTTAACGCCGTTTTGGCCTTTTTACCCAAAACTTCGGTCGCAGACGTATTGACGGCGCTGATAGACTTTTTGGCGTCACCAAATAGCATGTAGCATCTGAAAACAGAACCCGGAATTACAGTACATAAACATAGTTCACAGAAAACGTGATATCAGAAAACAACTTGAAAAACAGTTGGACTTGGATATCGTGCACAGAGAATGCGCGAGAAATAGTTTCCGTACGTCAAAATATCACCAACACACGCTTAGTACTTCGCACACACACACACATGCATATATATATAAATATATATATATATATATATATATAATTCGAATTATATTATATATTCTATAC